TTTAGCTACCTGATCGTGTCGATGTTTGTATTCAGTTTGTGCGAGTCGTGTGCATGCCGATATTATATGTTGGATTGTTTCTGATGTTTGTGAACAGAGTCGACAAGAATCATTTGTCACTGTTTTGTCTTTATGTATGTGTTTTTTATAGTTACGTGTGTTAATGGCCTGGTCTTGTATTGCTAACATGAAACCCTCAGTCTCCGGGAAGATATCACATTCAGACAACCAACTGTGCGTTGCTATAGAATCAACACAACCCTGGCTAACCTCTTGTGGAAATCGTCCATGTAAAGGCTTTTGGTTCCATATTTGTATGTTATTTGTGATGTAAGTTTGGATGTGGGTGGGAGTATATTAGTTTCGTGTAGATTAAGTGGTGTGTAAGATTTATCTGCATATGTTACTGTTTTGTGTAAAACTGAAGTATCTGATTTGTTATAAAAGTATTGTCGTAAATTGTGTATTTGTGTTTGGTGCAATAGTTTTATATCTGTAAGTCCTCTACCTCCTTCCGAACGAGGAAGGTAAAGTCGTATAGTGGAGAAGTGAGGGTGATGTATATGGTGTTTTGTTAATAGTGTACGTGTGTTTCTCTGTATTTGTTCTAAATCTGTATTTGTCCAACGTATAATCCCGAAAGAGTATGTAAGCACTGGTGTGGCATAAGTGTTAATAGCTTTGATTGTATTTCTACCGTGTAATTTTGTTTTAAGTATACTGCGTACTCTTTGTAGGTATTGTGTGATAAGTGTTTGTTTTATACTCGTATGTTTAATATGTGTATTTTGCTGAAAACCAAGATATTTATAAGTTTCATTCTCGTCCATGGAATTTATTAAATTACCCTGTTCTAGCTCATAATCTAAAAGTTGTCTTTTACCAGCTGTGATGTGTTGTGTTTTACATTTATCAATTCCAAAGTCCATTTGTATGTCACCTGAGAATGTTTCGGTAATGTGTAGAAGGTGATTAAGTTTTATGCTTGTGGAAGAGTATAATTTAAGATCGTCCATGTAAAACAGGTGTGTAATGTTGTGATGTATTTCGTGGTTGTGTTTAATATTGTAACCAAAGTTAGTAGTGTTTAACAAATATGAAAGTGGATTAAGAGCAAGACAAAACCAGAGCGGACTTAAAGAATCGCCTTGAAAAATTCCTCTTTTAATTTGTATTGGGTCGGTAATAAGTTTTGTGTCGTTTAGTGTAAGTGTTAACGTAGTGTTCCAACATGACATTATGTAATTGAGGAATTGTGTAATATTGTTGCTGACCTTGTATATTGAGAGTACTTGTTGTAACCAAGAGTGTGGTACTGAATCGAATGCTTTTTTGTAATCAATGTATGCAGTGTGTATGTTTCGTTTGTTATGTCTGGATTGTTCAAGTATAACAGAGTCTATAATGAGTTGCTCTTTACATCCTCTGGAATACTTGGTACACCCTTTTTGTTCTTCGTATAAAATGTTGTTATCAGTACAGTGTTGGTATATTTTGTTTGTAATGCATGATGTAAGGATTTTGTATATTGTAGGAATTTGTAGTTATTATTATTATTATTATTATTATATACATTTTAAATCCATAATGTACAGGGAATATCCTGTCCATCTTATGTATATACTATGTATATTCATTATAGGATAGGCATTATGTATTTTATGTTCAGTATGGATATTCTATAAATATACATTTTGGATGTGCTATGTATATACATGGGATGATATGTTATGTATATGCGTTTTGGATTTGATACATGCGTGTTCTGTATTACCGACGCGACGTTACAAACGTTAGCGTCTCATTTTCTGTGAATTACGGCGATGAAGATAGTAAGGTGCTATTGCAAATACAGCTCATTTTTCTAAAATCAGGAGTGTTATTCTGCGAGTTATTAATGAGTTTGTTTGTCTAATTTTGACAGTGAAAGTAATGATTTTTATTTCGTGTGTGCATGACACAATACAATAATAATTTCTTAAGCACATTTTCCATTGTACACTAAGAGACTTAATAAACAAAAAGCTCCACTCCATGAAAAGAATTTATTTATGAAGGTATAGACCAGAGCTGGGCAGAATACTTTCAAAAAATATTTGAATACTAAATAGTAAATACTTTACACAAATCAAATATTTTTCTATTGTTATATACAAATTTAAGGGGAGTAAAAGTAATAATTTCAAACAGTTCCAAGATTGGGCTACTACTTCAAAAGTTACAGTCCTTTGAATTTTCTTTCGAAATTGGTTTCTAGTCTATAACTTTTGATTGAGAAGTCTAATCGAAAAAGTGCGAATTGTTTTGGATTCTACGCACCAAAATTAATAAGAAGAAGTGTTTTCTCGAGAAATTTTGGTGCAGTCGATTTTAGAATGTGGCCTGTAGAATCCATAATTTCAAACGGTTTGAAGATTGGGCTACTAGTTCAAAAGTTACAGGCTAACACACCAAAACCACTAGAGAGGAAAGTAACATACTTCGAATACGACTTATTGCAGTTCGAGTTTTATAATCGACGGCAAAAAGCAGTGCATAGAATTCTCGATGGGGACAAAAAAGGATGTAATTTAGTAACTGGAAGAAATTTTTAAATAATTTCGCAACGTTTTTCAAAACCAAATGATTGTACAAGACACTCTTATATCCTTAACTTAAATCCCAGTTTAAATGATTACATTGATGAGGGGATGAACTTTGATTACGAGATAGTCCAAAATTAATCATGATGCAGTTCTTGCTGCAACGAAAACAATTCGTGTGGATACAAATCCTTTGATGCGGGTTAAAAATGTGGAAGAACATCTGAAGTGCTGCTGGCTGAAAGTGAAAGTTATATCTAATACTGGTTTGTTTTCATGAAGCAAGAACAGTTCTTCTCGTAAAGGTGGTGATCCTTCGAAAGTCACAAACTGGTGAGGTGACCAATAACTATGTTCTGTATTACAGATAATCTTAGAAAAAAGGTGCTTGTTAAGTCTTGACATAAATATCATTGAACTACTTGTTGGTTTTAAAGTACTCGGGCCCGAAGGGGCTTCAATATTTCCTCTCCAGTATTATGCGTCATTTTCCTGATTTCCTTCCTGATGTAAATAACTATTAAATTAATGATCTCTCCTTGTTTAATATTGAAATATCATTATAAGTATCTACATGGGTATGGTTATAACGGCAAATTTCACTATCTTGGTAAATTGTTCATCGTATTTTTCCGATGTTTCTTAATAGAAGTGTGCCCGTTGTATCACAACGCAATTTTATAAAATGTGGCGTAAGTAAAATGGTTACCATTAGATGCTTACTACATATGTATTTCATAATATGGCGTAAAGCGCTTTTTGAGTTTTCACGAAGGTGAAAGGAAAGCGATTATACGCTAGCAATTGCAATTATGTGGCTTATTATAAGATTGGAGAAAAACACTGCTTTTGAACGCATTAGAATTTTAAACCGTCCCGAAATGGAAAATTGTAATATGATACTAGTAAATGTGATACGGACCCCGATATTTTTTATAGAAATATGACAGTTAAAACAACGTTTTAAAATCTGAACTTAGCGGAAGCAAAACACAAATTGGTTTAAAGTTACACGACGTCGCGTCGTAACATCCCTAAACGTATGCAATTTTGAAAAATAACTCCCAGGAAGTCAATAGTAATGTTACCAAGACATCTGTTACAGTTTTAAGATAACATCGTTGTGGTTGTTTTGTTATTCTTCCTGTGCACGTATTCGGTAAATTTATCGGCGTAATTTATCAGCTGCCGTTTGTTTATTTGGCCGTTTGATATTGTCACTTTTTCTAAATGATGTGTGTTTCAATTTGCATCAAATTATGTAATACAGGCTGAAGGAAACAGTTACACGTTACTAATTATCCGACACAGGGTGACATTTCTTAAAACAGAAACATAAAAACCTTGGGCTCGATGCAGATATAATATGGTGCCATAGTTCTTAACTGAAACTAAGGTTTTCCAGATTTTAAATTTCTGGCATGTTTTCAGTGGAGTCCTACAAAAGAGATTTGCATAATATTCCTATCGGGCACCCTCATAATTAAAAGTAACTTTCAATTAATTTTGTTAATTATAATTTTGATTATTGTTGATAATAAAAATTTACGATCTGCTTCATTCTGTTCAATGAGCCGCTTAAAACAACTTTTCGAAAAAAAGTTTCTACAATGCCGGAATAATGCAGAACAAACATGAACCGTATTGATCAGTTCCCGCTCTCTCGAACTTATTCTAA